CCTTCAGGCTATTTTTGAACGATGATAAGAATGTACACTCTTGGGGCGCCTGGGTGGCTCAGATGGTTAAGCGTCTGCCTTCGGCTCAGGTCATGATCCCAGGGTCCTGGGATCGAGTCCTGCATCGGGCTCCCTGCTCAGTGGGAAGCCTGCTTCTCCCTCTCCCACTCCCCCTGCTTGTGTTCCGTCTCTCGCTGTGTCTCTCTCTGTCAAATAAATTTTAAAAAAATCTTCAAAAAAAAAAAAATAAATAAATGACTGTGTTTCCTAATACTGAACGCTCTTTAATCTTGGGGTCTTCTACCTGGCAGAGGGCAAGTGGAGCTGGGAATGTGAGGCCAGGTCTTGAGCAGTTCAGACTCTCCCTTGCTGTAAACATTTGAGATTTTCCCAGAGTTATAGGCTTTTCAGACCACAATCATCTGAGTTAAGGGGTGACATTTGTTGCCATTGGGGGAAGAGTGAGGTCAGGAAGAACCCAGTGTCTCATGCTGAACATTATCATTTGGAACTTTATCATCAGACGTGTGAAAGGGACAGATCACAAAGGTTTGCAAGGAATGTTTGAAATTCCTTGTCAAAGCCACACTCACATCCCTCCATCTCCAAAAAAACATGCACTGTACCCTGCTTTTGCTAACATGGGGCAAATGCTGGTTTGTTGAGGGTCTGCTGTGATGCAGACTGTTTTCCTCTCACCTTCTTTTGTGAGTCTGAGAACCTGATTCTTATCCCGGCTTCTCCAACACCAGTGTCACCTGGCACAAAGGGGAGGGGTGGGCAGCCACACGAGGAGCTGCCCTCAGGCTGTTGGAAGCAGGCATCACCCAATAATCTCAAACAAAGTAACACACTCCAGTATCCTCTTTCCTCTCATTTGCTCTAAGTCATCTACATCCTTCAACACCCAAGTCCAACCCCGCCTCCCCCACGGAGCCTTCCTGGATTGCCCCAACTCCTGGCGGGTGCTCTTCCTGCCACACCCTGGAGCTCCTCTTGCCTACATGCGGAATGTATGCCAAGGTTTGATTACAGTGCCCTACACAAGATAAGTGCTTAACAACAGGTAGCACGAGTTATTCTATAATTCATCTGTTACATGTCCGTCGCGTGTCCTTGAGGGGAATGTGGGCCCTGTAGTCACAGGTTTGGTTCTCTTATTGCTCTGTGGTCCCCGCATGCCACACATATATATGGGATCCAATAAATAGTTGTTGTTTTCATTGATCATCATCAGTGATCACTGCAAGTAATGAAACCACATTCTATAATGTTTTATGGTTTATCGAGTATATGCGTGTTCAGTGTATTTTGCCATGAGAGTGAATTCTAGCAGGACCGGAATGAGCCTGAATTGCTTCGCTGAAGTTTCTGCCCAGAACGGACTTCTGGTCAAGGCAAGAAGTGTACTGATGAACAGTGCTGCTTTGGGGCCGTGGGTCCGGGGAGTTCCGGGATGGTTTGTGGGGACCTGTAAGCATTGTTCGTGGATAATAGTGACATGGATGATGTGCACCTGGCTTGGAAGGCTCTGCTGCTGAGGCTGGTTACCTAACGAGATGGTGCCTACGTGACCAGCAAAATATAAAAACGTCCAGCAGAGACTCTATTTTGAGTTCCTTGGTTGCGAGGCTACATCGGAGGTTTCTGATCTGAGCGGGTGTATTCTGTTATGGCCCCTGGAGAAAGGAGGATGATGGGAGCTGGCCCCTGGCCCCTCCGGTCCTCAAGCTAGGAAGCAGCCTTCAGCTGTGATGCACACTATAATGTTGTTGCTAACCCGCCTCCTTTTTCTGTAAGAAACCATAGATTTGCCAGCTTTCCCTTCGGGCCCTAGGCACTTTCTTTAGCAACTGAACTCTGTTTAATGGCCACTGGGGGTGTGGCACCACAGGCCTGAGGGACGGAGCTGACACAGGGCCAAGCTGGCCAGCCCAAGGTCGCTTAACAGAGCTCAGACTTGAAGCAAGAGCTCTGATTGCAAATCCCGTGCTCTTTTCACAACACTCCCCGATCCCTCTCACTACCGGTTTTAGTAGTTGCTGGAGAGAAAGCAAGGAATTTATTGAGCTCGTCTTGGGTGAGGACTGCTCTGTGTATTGAAGTCACACTGTGAGAGCAGCTACATCCCTGGGGGGACAAGGTGGCAGCACCCACGCTTCCTGAACCACATGACCACTTTGGTCAGAGGCCCAGGCTGGCCGGCTTCTGCCCCCACAACTGAGGCTGCCGAAGCCGTAATTATTCCAACACAGGCTCCTGGGAGGAGGCCTTGTTGGTCCATTTCTGGCAAGGCGGTGATTTTGCTCATTTTGAAACGAGCGAGCACATCATGCATCCAGATCTCCACCACAAGCAAGATGTTTCAGTGGGCTCGGTAATCAATCTTCTGCATGCTCTTTCTTTTTCAAAGTGTACGCTTCAAGCAATTCTAATTTGATCCTTAATTAAGATGCATGTGTAAGTCAAATTCCATTAAAGCCTCTTTCTCGGTGTCCAGCACTCAGACCACCAGAGAAAGTTCGGAAGACTGAACTCGGAAGGCAAGTGTGCAGTGTCTTAGAGCCGTTCCCCGGCTTCTAACCTTCCCTCTGCTGCTGATTAGCTGAGTACCTCTGGGCACATCCCTTAAACTGATCTGTATAATAAATGGGTTGAACATTTGATGGGTTTCGTGTCTTATTAAATGCTCTATATTTAGGGTATGGACCCTAGCCACCAGTTATTATTATTACTATGGCTATTAATACTGCTACTACTACCTTTTTAATAGCAGAAGAACTGGAGGAACTGTTGTTGAACTAAGAGTCAGGAGATCCCAGCTTAACTACCTTTCTTACCAGTGTCCCTGGAGTATCTGCCACAAAGTTTTTAGGAATCAGTGGCACGCTCCTGGCGCACGTGACCTTACCTTGGGAGCAGAGGCCACTGGATGAAGCGCAGAGCATCTCCAGCAAGAATGTCAGCAGAGGGTGGCTCAGTCTGTTAAGCATCTGACTCTTGATATCAGCTCAGGTCTTGGTCTCAGGGTTGTGAGTTCAAGCCCCTGAGCCTACTTAAAAAAAGAGAGAGAGAAAAAAGAATGCCAGCAGAAAGGACATATCTAAGGGCACAGCCTGGCTTTAGCCATACATGAAACAGGCAGTCCCCAACACAAGTTGCTTGAGAGGCACTAAATATACCCACTCCTGCCTTCAACACATCTCCCTCACTGCCACGCAAAATACGGCCGTTCAAAGAGGACTATGAAAAGGTCTATAAATATAAGGAGGAAAAGCTCTATAAATGTATGGAGCTGTGCAAAGGACAGAATTAGTCTCCAGAACCCAGGGCTTATCGAAGTTAAAACGAACGCAGCAGGATCAATGGACACACTCTCAGCAGAGCGACTAGGAGCTGTCAGCGGGGGATGTTGGAACAGCACGGCTTGGCTAGCCTTCTCGGTTCGTCGAAGGAGACACACCCAGGTTGGTGGTCATGGCAAGCCGCCTGTTCAGGGCGAGGCTGCGGAAAGCTTCTCAATCCGAGCCCACGTCAAGCTGATCCTGCAGCGTGATTCCTTATCTTGTTCCCCCAAACAGCCTCTCACAGATTGCATCACCATGACCTAACATCTGGGTGGAGGGGCCGATGTCTTACCTGACCCCCAGCACCGTGTGGGTCGTAGAACGTGGAAGTACCAGGTCGTAGAGTGACCACGAGGCATTACGTGTGCGTGGTGACAGACTGTCTGGAGTAGGTATGTGCCACCTGTTAGCCAGGCCTACCACGGCCCCTCGCTGAGGGTGCAACCTCAGGCGTGTGAAGGGGTGACGGTGATACCCCCACCCCGGGACTGTGTTCAGAAAGGCTGAGATCAGGCAGCGGGGCCGCACAAGGCCTGGGGGGTAGGTGCTCTGTAAACGCAAGTGGTTACTTGTTTGGGTCTGTTCATCTGGGCTGGGCACCCACCTAACCACAGGCGATTCTTGAGAAAAACCCAGTGAGTTCTATCTTTGCTTAAATTGGAGCAGAGGTTTCCTTCCTCCTTGTCTGGAGGGGCCCGAGTCACTGGGGTGAGTGGGAGGGAACAAGAGAAGGTGGGGGTTTCCTTGACATTGCCAACCTTCCATTTTGCTTATGACTCCCCCTGTCTTGCTGAACAGAGAGGAAACAGTCTGGCGAACAGCTCACGAGGGCCCTGGTGACTTCCGGTTGTGGGAAAAGAGGGAGTGAGGGAATGATGCCTAAAAAAAACCCAAGCACAGAAGCAACCGATTAATTTGCTCATTTTAAAAAATGATTTGGGAGAATTTTTTTTTTTTTTTTTGCTTCCAAATAGCTTAGTATTTGGCTCCCGATTTTTATCATGAGAATGCTATAATATTAAAGTCAATTTTAAAAGATTGAAAAAAAATCTATTCATATCCATGTCACCCCAAACCTCAGCTGCTTTGTTATTTCTGAGCCCTTGCTCCGTCTGTGTCCATGAAACTGGAAAATTCTGGGAGCAAAAATAACTTATGCATAATGAACTTTAGTCTCTAACTGAAATAAGATGACTTAGATTTATGAAAGCTTGTACCAATGTGTTTATATTTCAATTTTTCCTACATTTGCATTCACTTCTCCGCATCCCTGCCCCCAAATCTGAAATAAAAACATTCTCTTACAAAAGCCAGCCCTTGCCCATGGCTTGTTTGTCTCCAGAAGTTCTACACCTTTTGGTAGGACAGATCCTTTTCCTGTCCCCTGTACCTCCCTCCCATTCCCAGGGGCTTGTCCCTAAGGGCGAAAAGTGGCCAAGATCAGGAAGCTGGCTAAGAAGTAGGACTTTAGTATAAATTTTGATTTTGTTACTTATTATTATTATTCAGCTCAGTTTCCTCATCTGTAAAATAGTGGCACTAATACCTATCCTCCCCGTTTTGGGGAGTGAGCGAGAGAAAGGATTTTACATTGCTCACTTATCTGGAACATGGGATAAATGGTCTTTGCATTGAATTCCTAGAGCTGCCATAATGAACTACCACAAACTGGATGGCTGTGAGCGACAGAAATGTATTCTCTCATAGTTCAGGAGATCTGGGGTCTGAAGTCACGGTGTTGACAGGGTTGGTTCCTTCTAGAAATTCTGAGGGAGATCTGTTCTCCATGGACTTCCTAGCTTTTGGTGGTTGCTTGCTGTTCCTTGGCTTCTAGCTGCATCAGTTCATCTTCTGTCTCTATCATAACACGGCTTTCTTCCTCCTGTGTGTGTCTCCGTGCCCTGTCCTCTTAGAAGGACTCCATTTGGTGGATTAGGGCCCACCCCAATCCACAATGACCTTCTCTTAACCAATTCATCCGCAAACACTGTTTCCAAATAAGGTACGTTCTGAGGTTCTGAGTGAACATGGATTTTATTTTTTGGGGGGGACACTTTTCACTCCCCTGGAGTAACCATCACTATGGAAGTATGAAAGAACAGGACCTTCTCTCGTCTGTACCGGCAAAATCCTGCAGAGTATCAAGGAGACTGAAGAATGTCCCAAGGCTTTCCTGGAAGAAACAGTCTCTCTTAAATTGTCAAACTCCCTGTCTGAGATGCAGCTCGAGGAAATGCGCATGACTTCCCCAAGTCTCTCTCATTTCCTTCCCTGTGAAATGGGAGTTAATCTATCAATAAAGATGTACTGATGGACCCTGGGCATCACGACACCCCCCAGCATCCCATAATGACGAGCAGTTGTCCTTGAGATTACTTACGGATGCGGGGAGATCTACCATGATTTTGGAGCTTGGCGGTCATGCACGCTCAGTTTTTGATGACCTCTGAATCTAACACTGACACAGACAAGGAAAATAAACTCCTGGAAACTCCCCGGGTCTTGTAAGACGGGATGTCATGGCCGGACGTGGTCCTTCAAGTGGACGTCTGCCCCCTGAGGCAGCACGTCTGTCTTTCTCTAGCTCTTCACAAAGGCTGCGAGAAAAGAGAAGGGGTGCACGAGACAAGAGAAAAGCAGCGGCTTTATTTACAGAATGACAGAAGCAGACTTCATGGTTGTTTGGTGGGGGTTGTCTTCTTGGCTCCCAGAAGATCTTGTATTTCCATCTCCAGTCCTTGGCAAGAGTATTTTTTTTTTTTTAAGATTTATTTATTTATTTGAGAGAGCGAGAATGAGAGAGAAAGAGTACATGAGAGGGGGGAGAGTCAGAGGGAGAAGCAGGCTCCTCGCCGAGCAGGGAGCCCGATGTGGGACTCGATCCCGGGACTCCAGGATCATGACCTGAGCCGAAGGCAGTCGCTTAACCAACTGAGCCACCCAGGCGCCCCCTTGGCAAGAGTATTTGTTCTTGGGGAGTGACCAGGTTCCATCAGTGCTCCGAGCTATGGGTTGAAGCCACAGACCAAGCTGTTAAGTCCTTGCTCCCAGCACAAGGCTTTCTGTGCATGCCATTTTGCATCCTTCTTAAACCCGCAGGGAGAGAAGCACTCTACCTAATCCACTTGCCTGCTACAAGCACCGTGGCCGAGAATTCTCCACCTGAGACTCCAGTGCACAAGTTTTCTGTGAACTTATCAGCCTCGCTGTCGCCTGTGATCCCAGGGTGGCCCCTGATTATCAACACAAGCCCCCTCACTGATGCCTTCAAGGTGAACTGGCTGTCAGGCACTGACTTTGAGGTAAGCACAGCTCACTTGGGAGTTGTCCACAGAGAGGGGTCCTGAAGATAAGGGTGCAGGGGATTCTAGATTGGTGAGCATTTCCTTCTCTTTCCCTTGCTCACTCTCCCCTCTAGTAAGACCCAGAAGGCCCATCTGGGGACATCTGAGAGCCCTCTATGCGAGAGGTCCCTAAACACTTTGGACCTTCTTTCTCCACTTAATCCAGCGCAATGGGTGATAGGCTCAAATTGTTACAAATAGAAGTCCTGTTTCTCATTGCCACCCACCCTCACATGACGTCAGGTGTTAGGTGTGTGCTGACAATATCTAGATCCTTTGGGTGGCATAGTGTGGGCATTCATCTCCTCAAAAGCCAGGCCCTGATGAACTTGTGTCAGGTGATTCTACTTTTCTCGAATTCCGTGATTTTCCAGGAGGAAATCTATGAGGAGACTTATTTAATATGGAAGAGCATACCTTCATAAAAATACAAGCCTGAGGGGCGCTTGGGTGGCTCAGTTGGTTAAGCGACTGCCTTCGGCTCAGGTCATGATCCTGGAGTCCCGGGATCGAGTCCTGCATCGGGCTCCCTGCTCGGCAGGGAGTCTGCTTCTCCCTCTGACCCTCCTCCCTCTCATGTGCTCTCTCTCCCTCTCTCATTCTGTCTCAAATAAATAAATAAAATCTTTAAAAAAAAAATACAAGCCTGAATGTCCAGCCGTGCTGCATGAATGATTCCTCTTGGATAATTCAGACCCCATCATTCACATTCAGGAGCTATTACACCCCTGCTCTCTTTTCTAGTTTGTCATTTAAGTCTTTTTCAAAGTTGGTGCCCCTCCTTAGGTAGGAGAAACCTACCTGCGTGTTTTCCACTGGTACCTTCAGAGGCCCTTCTAGGGATGACTTTAGGGTCCATGTGTCTGAACCCTCCCCACCCCTGCCCTTCCCTCCAGGATCATGACCTGAACCTCTGGCGATTAACATTAGCCCTGACTCGGGTCCTGCCTGCCATTGCCCTGGGGATGTGGTGGAACCCCGTGGGCTCAGCCTGCTTCGTCGAGGCCAGTTGCCTCCTTGAGGTACATACTAGGTGTTCTTAAACACAGCTGATCGTGAGAGTCCCAAGGGGAGCTCTTAAAAAGTGTGCATGTCTGGGACGTGTAGCAGAACTCAGGAAGGCAGTATTCTCAGCACCCCTGGGGGCAGGTTCTTTGATGCATACAGAGCACACATTCAGCATCCAGTGTAGAGTCCCCAGGCCCAGAGGCTGGTTCTGTGACTCCTCTGCCCTATCTCCCTGGCCCTGGACATCTGGCTCGTCTTCCACAGCTGCTGCTCATCTGGCCCTAGAAGCCCTGCCAAGGGCTTGCACATGTACAGCATGGAGTATATGCTGGACGCTGCGGCACGCTTCACACGTATTTCCTCTTGAATACAAACAATCCAATGATTTTATTTATGTTACTATCCCCTTTTCACAGGTGGAGGAAACTGAAGCAAAACTCATTAAATAACTTGCCCTGGTTGCGCAGCTCTTCGGGGGTTGAGCTGAACCTGGAACCCAGGCAGTCTGACTTCAGACCTCTGCCTATTTTTTGGAAACGATATAATTCATACAGCATGCAATTCACCCATTGAAAATGTACAATTTGGTGGTTTTTACTGCATTCACAGACAATCACCACTATCTACTTTTAGGACACTTTCCCTATTTGCCCCAGTCCCTGGCACCCCCTGATCTCCTTTTGGCCTTAATGGATTTGCCTGTTCACATTGAATGGATTCACATTGTACATGGTCTTTAGTGACTGGCTAGTGTCCTTTAAGCCTGGGTCAACTCTTCCTTCCTTTTCGTGGCTGAGTCATATTCCACCGTATGGACAGACCACGGTTTGTCTCTCCGCTCAGCAGCTGACAGACTTCGGGGTGGTTCCCCATTGAGGGCTCTCACCCTCTAGAGTCTACTGCCTTTGATGACGAGGAGGAGGGTGACCATGCAGAGGTCCCATTGCGCACTCGCGTTCTCACCTCTGGATTGTCACTACCGACACCGATGCTACCACCATGGAAGAGGCTTTATTCCCATTTTCGAACTAAGATTGCAGAGAGACAGCAAGGTCAGCTGGTGTGTCTGAGATCACGTAGCCCTAACAGATGAAGCCAGAACTTAACTCAGGTCTGCTGATGGCCAATCCTAGGCTCTTTCTCCCCCATGGCCCTGTGCATCTGTTGCTGGTTTGGGGAGCCCTCCACATCAGGTGAAAGGACCTATCCTTTCCATGTTTGATGTGATTCCAACAGGGCTGACAGTCAAGGAAGAATTCCATCCTGAGTCTGACCTCTAGAAATGGGGGCTTTTTTAGCACCTCAGCTGAGGTAGGCTCCAGTGTTTAGTGTACTGTCCCAGGCCTGGCGCCCTCCTGGCCACAGATCCATGGGCCCTGAAGCATTGGTTGCTTCTCCCCAGAAACCACCCAATAGCGTCAACTATCCCCTCCAGAAAGATCCTATTGTCCAGCCCAAAATGCTCACAAGAGCTGCTTCTGCTGCCTACAGAACAGGTCAGGGGCATCCCCGTGGCGGAACCTGACTTCTCCTTGGGCCGACTTGACACTCTGCAGGAGAAGGCTAGCAATGAGGTTTTTGGGTCTCTGGCCCAGAGGTTTAGTCACTGTTGGCCTTGGGACTCAGTTGTACAAGGCCTTCTGAGGGTGACCTCTGAATCATGCCAGAGACCAGGTCTCTCTGCTTTCAAACACAGCTGCTGGGACTTCTGGGGGCCCGGGGAAAGTAAGGAGGGTTAATAATAATGATGCTAATGATAACAACTCCTATTTATGGTGCGTTGACCATGTGCCAGGAATCCCCCTAAACATTTTGTGAATTCATTTATTTAATCCCCATAACAGCACCACGACGCGCTGTGCTGCTATTATTTGCATGTTAGAGGTGGGGAATGGCAGCACAGAGAAGTCTCGCCTGCTACATGCCAAGCACGGGAGACAGGTCATCTTCACGTATGTGGGTGCCAGGCTGACACTGCTCACCGGCAGAGACGAGACTACCTCATTTCCTCTCTCAACCCTCCTCTGCATGCACTCGTTCCCATCTGCGGTTGTCTTCTCTCAACCAATCGAGATCTCGCACAGCCTCCTCCATGAAGCCTTCCCTGACTATACACAGCTCACAATGAACTTTGCCTAGAAGTCAGCACTTCTAGCGTTTTGTTATAAGACCATGTTTTGTACTTCAGCTCTTTAACTAGGGCAAGGAGTATTTCCCTAATTATAATCACGTGGAAACAAAATCAGGGAAAGGTGGCAAAGGACTTTCCCAAGGTCACACCAAAGTTCAGCTGTGACAGTGAGATTGGAGCTAAGCGATCTCCTAAGGGCGGGAGACTGAACGCCTGCCTGGCCTGAGTCGTATTAATAAACAAAATTTCCATTAGCATAATTAAGACATTTATGAAGGGCGCCTGGGTGGCTCAGTTGGTTAAGCGACTGCCTTCGGCTCAGGTCATGATCCTGGAGTCCCGGGATCGAGTCCCGCATCGGGCTCCCTGCTCGGCAGGGAGTCTGCTTCTCCCTCTGACCCTCCTCCCTCTCATGTTCTCTGTCTCTCATTCTCTCTGTCTCAAATAAATAAATAAAATCTTTAAAAAAAAAAATCCTAACACACACACACACACACACACACACTACACAACCAAAATTCAAAAAAAAAAAAAAGACATTTATGAAATTTAGTCCTTGAGGTCCCAAAGGGCTCTGGGTGCTCGGCGGTCTAAGCTGGTGGCCGGAGTGTGCATGTAGGCACGGGAGGTCACAAGTTGGCCTCCAGCTAGCCTCAGCAGGACCCTCCCATCGTGGGCCAGCCGGGTTCCTGCTGACAATTCCAGTGATGTTTCTCTGGCCCTGGTTCTTGGTGTCCCTCCCACATCTCCAAAACACTTATAGTGCAGGAGACAAGTTTCCATGAGCGGGAGAATGTGTGGAAATGCACAAAAACACTGAGCCGGCAGTTGATGTAAGTATATATTGTTCCTTATTTCTGCAGATGTATCCTTCCCTTGTTTATTCATGGTCGTGGCCTTGGGAAAATTTGCATGGAGAGCCGAGTCAAGATGTGACTTAACAGCAATCCCAGGAAAGTGCAGTGGCTTATTCTTAAAGCCCAGGAAGCCCAACTATGTTCAGGGTTGCTAAGGGGCTTGTCTGGGTGCCTACCCTAAGCAGTGACAGGGTTTTAATTCCTGGCTTTCTATCTCCAGTCGATGGAACCAGGATGTCGCCTAAATATTTTCTTTCCTCTGAAAAGCAGCATCACGCACAGGAGTCCCCTTGGAAAAAGGTCACGGGGCTTATGTTGGAAGGACTAAGGCAAAACAACCGGTTCCTCTGATGGTGGGGGAAAGATGGTTTCCAGGATGCTGGTTGCTTCCTTCCTAGTAACGTCCCTTTGCAAAATGCATGCATACAAAACAGATCTCCTTTCACATGGTTACTAAGAATTCTGCCTTTGCTTTTAGGTTGTCACCACTGGGACGGAACAACTAGACTTTGAAACAGGACCAAACATATTTGATTTGCAGATTTATGTCAAGGATGATGTCGGTGTCACCGATCTCCAGATCCTGACTGTCCAGGTGACAGATGTGAACGAGCCGCCTCAGTTCCAAGGCAACTTGGCAAAAGGTAAGATACACTGGGTTGTGCAGTGCAGCCCAGACGGTGGCATCAGGGGGCACCCTGGGGGACAGAGCAAAACAGAAAAGTAAGTAAACAAGCAGCTGTTTGCCTATAAGAGGCAGCTGCTTAATGAGCAGGGAATAAATGAAATGTCCTCCAGCACAGGACTCCCCAAAATGATGGCCAACAATTTACAAAGCCCCTCCCTTCCGTGGTTTCTCTTGGGCCTCTCTCAGTCCTGGGGAGGAAACTGAGGCTCAGGAACCTCGCGAGGGGGTCGTTCTGGAGGAAGCTGGGCCGAGCCCATCGGAAGCGCATCCCCATGTGCTGTGGTCATTAACTGATGTGTTCATTCTCCCCACGGACCCCCGGAGGGCAGTATGTGACTGGGGTCTGCTGCATAGCAGGGACAATATAAAGGACTGAGCACAGGGTAACTTCGTGCATGGTCTCTCCCAGGCTCATGACTTTGAGCTATACTGACAACCTCCACCTCTGTCACTTTAGTCCAGCTTCTCCTCCAAGCTCCTGACTTAAATATCCAGCCGTCTTATCCCACATCTCTGTCTGCCATGTCTAATAGGCATGTGGGATTTTGTAAGGTGACTTTTGGATGCTCCCAGGTCACCTCAGTGTGGGGGTCGGTTACCAGTGGAGCCAACCATGGGATTAGAAGGTTGGAACTTTCAGTCCCGCACTCCACCTCACCCCTACCTCTGTGGAGGGCAGGAGGGTAGAGATGGTGCTCAATCGCCAATGGCCAATGATGTAATCAGTCGTGCCGATGTAATTAAGTCCCATAAAAGCGCCGAAGGATGGGGTTTGGGGAGCTTTCAGGTTGATGAACCGTCTCGCCCTTCCAGGCGGGTGGTGTGCCCAGAGAGCGTGGAAGCTCTGTGCTCCTTTCCCCACATTATGCCCTATGCGTCTCTTACATCTGTCTGTTCCTGAGTTATATCCTTTTGTAATAAACCAGTAATCTAGGAAGTAAAGTATTTCCCTGAGTTTTGTGATCCCCTCCAGCAAATTCATCGAACCCACAGAGGGGATGGTGGGAAACTCAGATTTATAGCTTGTGGGTCAGAGGCATGGGGAACAACCTGAACTTGAAATTGGTGTCTGAAGTGGGGGTTGGGGGTGTCTCGTGGGGCTGAGTCCTTGGTCTGTGGAATCTGAAGGCTGTCTCTGGGTAGCTGGTATCAGAATTGAGTTGAATTGTAGAACCCCCAGCCTGTGTCAAAGGATCGCTTGGTGGTGCAGGAAAATCCCCCACACATTAGAATTGGTGTCAGAACACGACATCTCAAACGTAACATGCCCCCAAATCAAACTCTTGACCTCCACTCCACCCCTGGCCTCCACCATCCCCCCGCCAAATCTGCTTCTCCTGTCTTTCCCATTTTAGCTACTTCAAAGCTTCGAAGTCAGCTTTGACTCTTCTGCCTTTCACACCCAACATCAAATCCATGAGGAAATCTTGCCACTTCCAAGTCTATGCAGTCTGACTGCTCCCTGGCATCTCCATCCACACCACCACGGTGCAAGTCAGTAGTCATGTGTCGCAAGGATTATTGCGATGGTGGGCTAACCGGCCTCCCTGCTCTGCTCTTGTCTCTGTCCATCTAGTCTCTGCATAGCAGCCAGAAAGATCCTGTTGAATCTCAGTCAAATCAAGGCACTCCTCTGCTTAAAACCCCACAAGAACTTCCATCTCCCTCAAGAGGAGAGCCAGAGTCTCCTTAAGGCACCACCAAATCTGGCCCCCTCCCACCCTCACCCTGTCGTCTTCCACACATTTCCTCCCACCCCCTCCGCTGTGGCCCCCATACCACCCGCGCCTTCGCCGGCATCTCCGCAGTTGCTCTTTGCCCCTTCCCCCATATCTCTACGATCCTCATTTCTTTAAGAATCTAGACTCACGTGTCGCAAATCTTCCACAACCACTCCATTTCACACTGTAACCCAACCCACAACACTCCATTCCCTGATTTTCTCCAGGACCTTGCTCAGTAACGTTCACATATTTTGCTCATTTATTTTATTGTCCGTATCGTCCCACTATCGTGCAAGCTCTGCAAGAGCGGGGTTTGTGTTCCGTGAACCGCTATGTTCCCAGTGCATGGATAGATCAGTGTCTGGTACCGAGTGAGAACCCAGTAAACATCATTTTGAGTGAAAGCACGAGCAGTGATAAAGGTGAATGAGAGCTGCAGCTCAGATCTAAGACAGGCTGGGTTTGAAGTTTTATGCTCTCACTTCCTTCCTTGCTGAGACCTCCTAACTCCCCCGAGCCTATTTCCTCGTTTGTAAAGTGGAAAGAATTGAAATACTTACGCACGGGGGTTCTGACGATAAAGGAGAAAACATAAGCCCTCAGCACTGTGGCTTCGATGAGTGAGCTGACGTGGACATTCCCAGCCCTCCCGCAGAAGGATGGGCTCTTGGAGAGGCCAGAGTGGAGGGGGGCAGCCCCTCAGGCCGGGCTGGTGGTGCCAAGTGCCGGGTTCCCCCTGGCTGCCCAGAACTCTGAAGGAGATGAGGTCAATTTCTGGTCCCCTCCCGGAGCCTCTGCAGCCCTCTCCCTTAATCCTGCTGCAAGTCCTTTTGGCCGACATGCTAAGTGCACTTCAATAGGAGACCTCTGGGGCACCTGGGTGGCTCAGTTGGTTAAGCGACTGCCTTCGGCTCAGGTCATGATCCTGGAGTCCCAGGATCGAGTCCCGCATCGGGCTCCCTGCTCGGCAGGGAGTCTGCTTCTCCCTCTGACCCTCCTCCCTCTCATGCTCTATCTCATTCTCTCTCTCAAATAAATAAAATCTTTAAAAAAAAAAAAAAAGAATTATGAAAGAAAAAAAAAAACAAATGCTAAAGCTGGGGCACCTGGGTGGCTCAGTCGGTTAAGCGACTGCCTTCGGCTCAGGTCACAATCCTGGAGTCCCGGGATCGAGTCCCGCATCGGGCTCCCTGCTCGGCAGGGAGTCTGCTTCTCCCTTTGACCCTCCTCCCTCTCATGCTCTATCTCATTCTCTCTCTCAAATAAATAAAATCTTAAAAAAAAAAAAAGAATTATGAAAGAAAAAAAAAAAAAACAAATGCTAAAGCTGGGGCACCTGGGTGGCTCAGTCGGTTAAGCGACTGCCTTCGGCTCAGGTCACAATCCTGGAGTCCCGGGATCGAGTCCCGCATCGGGCTCCCTGCTCGGCGGGGAGTCTGCTTCTCCCTCTGATCCTCCTCCCTCTCATGCTCTCTGTCTCTCATTCTCTCTCTCGCAAATAAATAAAATCTTAAAAAAAAAAAAAAAAGGAGACCTCTGCTCGGTTTTGGAGGAATTTGCACGTGAAAGTGAATCAGGAACAGGGCGCAGCCTCACACGGAGGTTCCTCCCCTAGATCACCTCTTAGCGGAGGAAATGCGGGAAGATGTGATCCCAGCTTGGCCCCTCAAGTACTTTATAAATTCCCATAAGCGGTTCGCTCACTGCAGCTGGCCCGCGGGCTGACTCCCGGCCTTTATTCCTGCATCCCTCCTTCCCACGATGCCAATGTGCTTGGTTCTCCTTGGCTGGGTGCGGCTGTCCCGGTTCTGTAATTCCTTATTTGCTTTGTCTAATAAAATGCCTCTTCCTCCACTTTGGATGCTGATCTAGGTCTAGACCTGTACGTACCGGAAGGCGCAAACCCGGGATTCATTTACCAGGTTGAGGCCTTTGATGCAGAAGACACAAGCCGAAACATACCCCTCAGTGTAAGTCTCCTTGATAAACAAGACGGCTTCTCCGTGCTGTCTTTGACATGGGAGCCTGGAGCCTCGGCCAGGGGCCTGGGCAGTGGTGAGGGGAAGAATAGGCTGTCCACAGCCACAGCATAGAGAACGGGGGATGTCGGAATGGGTAAGGGAGCTCCAGACATAGACACCCCAGATTAGACTCGTGGCTCTGTGTGAGCTTGGACATGTTCTTAACCTCTTTGAGCTTCCATTTCTTCATCTATAAAATGGAAGAATAGCACCTACACAGCTGGAGAATTCTCAGTATGAGAGAACGCACACAAGGCCACTTAGCACAGTGCCTGGCATGTTGAAATTGCTCAGTATTTTTAAATTCCAAGGGGATAAAAATCCATCTGTATTCTTTTAAAAGTAAGCAAAAAGTGTGTACCCCAAAGGCCGGCATTAACACTTCCTTTTCAAGAGATGACGTCAAGCTACTTGGAGCCAAGTTAAAAAATAAATTAAAAAGTTGAAAGAGAATCCCAGAAATTCCAAAGAAGAGAGGGGGAATCCCGCAGAGAATAACCGGAGGCCAGGTCCTGGAGCGTTCCCTCATGGTTCAGTCTGAGACAGCTGATCTCTCTTCTCTTCCTTCTAAATCCATTTCCTTCACGCAGTTATCAGTGGACCTCTTGTAACCACGAACCCTCAGGCGAAGGAGGCTCTCAGCTTGTCTCTGGGCCAGGACGCTGTGGCTCCTAGCTCTGTCCCCCCCAAGTGGCTCCTGCATCCTGCAGTTGGGCAGCCCAGGCTTGAGAAAAAAACCAAAGCCCACACCAGCCAGCCTACTAACCTTGGAGCAGGCATCCTTACGGAGAAGCATTTACTTGAAATACGACACTCAGGGAATTGGTAACACCGGGAGGCTGTTTCTGCTGCTGGGGCTTGATTCGCAGCTTCGACCCGGCTACTTTTTCTAACAGGAGGAAGTGAGCCTTGGAAATAACCTCCAGGACCCATATAATACGGTCCGCAGGGTCTGAAACAAAGCTGTTTTCAAATTAGCAGACACATCTTGAGTTAGGGAATAGTCTGTTCTTATCAGAAGATGACCCTTCTGTCCCCAAAATCATTTATTCAAGGTTCTGTTTGCATGAATAAGTGGAATAGGCAAACACTTAATGGGTCTCTACTATGTGCTAAGAACAATACGAGGTGCTTTAAATGCGTTCTTATGATAACATCCTTGTTATATCAGTTATAAATATGTTTGTCTAAAAATAACAGAAAACCACAGTGGCAGGTGTGGGATTTTTTTTTTTTTCTCCCCTAACAAGAAGTGCAGAGGTGGGCAGGCGGTCCAGGGCTGGTTTTGTCCTCTCTTTGTTCCCCTCATGATTACAATGTGGCTGCTATTCACCTCCAGGCTTTACCTTTAAGTTCCAGGCAGGAAGAAGGGAAGAAAAAAGTAGGAAGGGGTACAGGGTGAAGGGATCAGGCCAGCCCAGTCTGTATCTCAAAGATCCTCCTGGAGGCCCTACCCAGAGGATTTCTGTTTACTTCTCACTGGCCAGAAGGGTTGGTCGCTGTTGTTTGATGGTAACCAGGGGAGAAGAGATTCCGGATGGGTCAGCAACCCAAAATATAGTATCTCATTTATACATTGAGTTCTCTTCAGCACTTACCAAGAATTCACTATGTGCCAGGCTTTCTATTAAATACTTTGGGCACAAAGATGAGTAAGAGCCATCTTTGTACCTCAAGAAGTTTACAGTCTGGGTGGGAGACGTTCATGCATAGACCAAATTATTATAATTCAATAAGATAATTACTATAAAGTTCATACAAGATGCAGTGGAGGCCAAGTGGAAGGAATCTCAAGTGTCAAGAAAAATGTTTCTTTTTAAATCTCCATCTTTAAATTATGCAGAAGGAATAAGGTCACGGCGGCCCCTTTAAAAAGCAGGTTGTTACCCTTTCTGGAAGGGAAGCGGCCCCAGGCGGGGAGCAAAGATAGCAGCAGGCCTTGCTCCCTTAAAAGAAAATGTAGTGCAGAAATCCACCTGTGGTTTCTGCAGTGCTTTAGGAGTTATTTGGGGTGGGGCGTGTCCAATGCAGCAGAGAGTGTTAATGAAGTCTTTCACACCTGCAAGAGCAGGAACAACTGCAAGAAAGTTAACAGCCAGCCTGGAGGGCCAGGGAGCACAATCTAGAAAGAACCCTTCTCAGACTAAAAAAGGGTACTCAACAGTTTAGGAAGTGACACAGTGTGACCTTTGTGCTTAGACATTTTATTCTGGGCGATCGGGAGCAATGAAAGGACATACTTTGCTCTATATAAGGAGAAAGGAGGTGGGTTGATTTACTAGGACCAAACCCATGATTCTCACTGAAGCCCATGGTTGTAAATTGAAACCGAGGAACTTTAAAAAACAACAGACATCTGTGTCCCAACCCCCAGGAGTCTGATGTGATTGTCCTGGGGTGTGACCCAGGCCTCAGGCTTTTTGAGCCCCCAGCCGAATCTCCTGCACAGCGGGGACTTAGAACCACCACTTTAAGACATGGTTTCCCAAATTTCCCAGGTCTCTCTCTTGGACTTTCCGGTCCTGGGGTCTGGGAGGGGCCTGGGAGCCTGCATATTTGCCAAATACCCTCGGGTGAAGTCAGAATGGCTGGGAGGGCTTCTCAGAAGGTGTTCAGGCCCCTGCATGAGAATATAGGTAAGCTGCTTTTTTTTTTTTTTCCCCAATGTAGGCTGCTTTTAAAAAAACACAGATTCTGACAGTTAAAGCAGCCAACTCTTGATACCAGCTCAGGTCCTGATCTCAGGGTCCTGAGCTCAGGCCCCGCACTGGGCTCCCTGCTAGGCGTGGAGCCTACTTTAAAAATTAATATTAATGGAAAAAAAGATTCCTGGAACACAGACTTCCCAGGTGATTCTGACGCTCTGTACCCTTCGAGAACCACTGAACTGAAGAAACAAGCAGAGGCTTTACTGAAACACCGGGGCGGGGCCCGGAGCCATACCCCGGGCCTCATGAGTGCCTGTCCTCATCGGATCTGCCCAAGAGCTGGGACTGGCGCGGGGCGAATGGGGTCAGTGTGTGCCCCGGGAACCAGCCCATCGCCAGGACTGCGGCTCCTGCGGGCCCCACGCCCGCAGCGGCCCCACAGCGGAGGGGGCAACAGCCAGAGGAAGGGGGCGTGGCCCCCACCCTGCACGGGGGGCTCCCGCCAGCCGGGTGGGCAACGACCTGCCTGCGCGGGGGTCAGCCCGCAAGCTGGGGGCGACAAGACCAGCACCAGCTCCAGGCCAAGGACCAGGAGTAGGACAAGTTGAAGCAGTGTGGAACATGCATGAACTCACAGTGCCATGCCCTCAGAGCTCCGCGCTCTGGAAAGCCAGGGCTCCCTCTCGGAGGGGAGAAGACGATGGCAGAAACCCTCGCCAAGGGCCCCGTCAGCTGCTGTGTAACGGCTACACAGGGGCCGTCTATGGGGCTACTGTGACATAAACCATGTCATTTCTGTGGCCGGCTGGCTTGTCAGCCATGGCACTGAGTACGGCATCGTTCGGAATTCATGGGGAGAACCCTGGGGTGAGATCGAGGCTGGATGAGAATAGTCACCTATAGCACCTATAAAGATGGGAATGGGGCCCATGACACCCTTGCTGTTGAGGATCCTCTCCGTTTGGGGACCCCATCCTTTAAGATGGGGCTTCAGAAAAGCAGTGTTTGAAGAAATGGCGTTGTGCACCATAATCAGAGGGGAGCCTACTGTTAGGGCTGCTAGGTTGGTGCTGCCGCGGTCTGAAGGATCTGGGGGGTGATAGTCAAAGTATCTGGCGGCTGGTCTGGTCAGGGCACTTTGCAGCTAGTTGGGTGCTGCTTGAGTGGTCCTGAGGGAAGAGTCTGAAATGGGATGGTGGAGACTCTTGGCTCCCCTGCCACCAGGACCACGGCCAACTCTCTACCTGGCGAAGGTGGGATCCGCAAGACAATTATGTGAACTCTGTTCTGACTTATCAGCAGTTCTTATATCACCTTGGAATCACTGGTGGGGGTGGAGGGGGAAGATGGCCATTTCAGATTGCCCAAAATTGATGAATAAAATACGTGACTTCCCACAAGAAAACAAAACAAAACAAAACCAGAACAAGAACAAAGCACCACAGCATGTGCGTAAAGCCACCTTGGCTTGGTTTGTGCCTATCAGCTTTCCTGGTGGGTTCCAAGGAGTTGCCTTGCTGGTGGGAACCACTAAGGAGGGAGGATGAATTAAACAATAGCTCTAGGATGTCTCCAGAAACCCCAGCTCCCTTAAAGTGCTGAATCTTACAACCCCTATCCAGCTTAATAAATTGAAACTGTGTTGCAGATAACATAAAAGTGGGGCTAATGCAGAAACCACTGGTATTTGCTCCCTCTTTCCAAAGAAGTTTTAAAAGCACGTAGTTGTACTTTGTTTGGACCAGCACTGCCCAACAGAGCTGGCACGCGAGTTAGGAATGATGCCTGTGTATGTCATTTTAGATGTTCCAGTAGCCACATTAAAAAGTAAAATGAAACAGGTGAAATTAAATTTCACCTCTTAAATTTTAAATACTCTTATCCAAACTACTATCCTTTCAACACCTTATCAACATAAAAACGATTCATGAGATATTTTACCTCCCTTTTCTTAGTAGTAAGTCTTCGGACTCATTGTGTCCTTTACACTAATTTACAGCTCACCCCCTTTCAGACCAGCCACACTGCAAATGCTCAGTCGTCACAGGTGGCCGTGGCTGGTGGCTTGGGTTGCAGGGTGCAGGCTTGGATCCAGCATCGGCTCCCCCTCCCTGGGCGCCTTCTGTGTTGTGATGGAGTCCAGGTGGAGGCATGCCTTAATACTGGGCTCGGATTGGTTTATCTGTGAATAATCGTATCTACTGGCATTCCTTCTCTGGGCCCCCTCCCCCAGCGCTTTCCCTACCTCTTGAAGGAGGTTCAGTGAGAGCCAACCCCCTTCCACCCAACTCCCACCCTCCA